GAACTGTTATATAATATCAGTCCTCCTATATGGCAGTGAATGCTGGACAATCTCCTCACAGATGAAGAAGAGACTTGAGGCAACAGAAACAAAGAAAAGGGTGCTGAACGGTTATATAATATCAGTCCTCCTATATTACAGTGAATGCTGGACAATCTCCTCACAGATGAAGAAGAGACTTGAGGCAACAGAAACAAAAGAAAAGGGTGCTGAACGGTTATATAATATCAGTCCTCCTATATGGCAGTGAATGCTGGACAATCTCACAGATGAAGAAGAGACTTGAGGCAACAGAAACAAAGAAAAGGGTGCTGAACGGTTATATAATATCAGTCCTCCTATATGGCAGTGAATGCTGGACAATCTCTGATGAAGAAATCTCCTCAAAAGGGTGAAGAATAATATCAGTCCTCCTTATGAGTGAATGCTGGACAATCTCCTCAAATGAAAAGAGACTTGAGGCAACAGAAACTGAAACTTATATATTTTATATAATATCAGTCCTCCTATATGGCAGTGAATGCTGGACAATCTCCTCACAGATGAAGAAGAGACTTGAGGCAACAGAAACAAAAAAAAAAGAACAGAAACAAAGAAAACGGTTTATATAATATCAGTCCTCCTATATGGCAGTGAATGCTGGATGCTGGAAGAATCTCCTCAGAAACAGATGAAAAGAAGAACGGTTGAGGCAACAAAAGTGAAAAGAAAAGAAAAGAGACTTGAGGCAACAGAACAAAGAAAAGTTTTATATAATATCAGTCCTCCTATATGGCAGTGAATGCTGGACAATCTCCTCACAGATGAAGAAGAAGACTTGAGGCAACAGAAACAAAGAAAAGGGTGCTGAACGGTTATATAATATCATATGGCAGTCCTCCTATATGGCAGTGAATGCTGGACAATCTCCTCACAGATGAAGAAAAGAGACTTGAGGCAACAGAAAACAAAGAAAAGGGTGCTGAACGGTTATATAATATCAGTCCTCCTATATGGCAGTGAATGCTGGACAATCTCCTCACAGATGAAGAAGAGACTTGAGGCAACAGAAAACAAAGAAAAGGGTGCTGAACGGTTATATAAATATCAGTCCTCCTATATGGCAGTGAATGCTGGACAATCTCCTCACAGATGAAGAAGAGAAGAGACTTGAGGCAACAGAAACAAAAAAAAAGGATGCTGAACGGTTATATAATATCAGTCCTCCTATATGGCAGTGAATGCTGGACAATCTCCTCACAGATGAAGAAGAGACTTGAGGCAACAGAAACAAAAAAAAAAAAATGACGGTTATATAATATCAACAGAAACCTATATGGCAGTGAATGAAATTTCCTAGAAGAATAAAAGGATAAAAGAAAAAAGAAAAAACGTTTATATAATATCAGTCCTCCTATATGGCAAAAATGCTGGACAATCTTCTCACAATGAAGAAGAGACTTGAGGCAACAGAAACAAAGAAAAGGGTGCTGAACGGTTATATAATATCAGTCCTCCTATATGGCAATGTGAAAAAGATGAAAATAATGTTAAGAAGAACTTGAGGCAAAAGAAACAAAAAAAAATATATATTTAAAAGTTTGATATTTTATTATGATA